TTTCAGGAAGCGTAGCAGGTGGAGGACTGGGGAGCGCGTTGGTGCAGACTCCAAGAGCAGAAGGCTTCGGGGTCAAGGGCCACAGAGGTTGCGAAAGATGAAGAGACAGAGGAGGCTGTGGACTCGCACTGGTGGCCTCGTAGGGGCTTCGTTGGCAGAGTGTAGGAGGCACAAGGAGAGAGCTTTGGGGTGAGGTCGGTGAATGGTCTACCTTTTCCCAGTGTCCTGTGGGCCCCAAGGGGACCTAAAGGCATGTAAAAGGAAAAAGCTAAGTGTGAAGGTCAGAGGCTGAGAGATGCTACTTATCCACCTCTGGCAGGTTCCTCCTCACTGCCGCTCCCCCAGATATGTCAGGCCAACTCCTTTGCCTCCTTCAGTCTTAACTCATATGCCGTCTCCTACCCAGACTGCCCTACTTAAAATCGCAACATGCCTCTCCCTTCCTGTGGGAGCTGAATAATGGTCCCCACCAGGTGTCCATGTCCCAATCCCCAGAACCTGCGAATATGTTACCTCACCTGGCAAAAGGGACTTGGCCATGTAAATTAATGATTTTGAGATGGAGATATTATCCTGGATTTTCTGGGTGAATCCAATGTGATCAAAAGTTTCCTTGTAAGAAGGAGGCAGGAGGGTCACAGGCAGAGAGGGAGGAGTGAGAACAGTGGACGCAGACGTAGGGAGGTGGAGATTGATTTGAAGATGTTATGATGCCGGTTTTGAAGATGGCAGATGGAGCTGAGAGCCAAGGAATGCAGGTGGTCTCTAGAAGCTGGAAAAGGCAAGGAAACCAATCCCCCTCTAGAACCTCTAGAAGCAACATAGCTTTGTAGACCCCTTGATAGGACTTCTGATATCATAAACTGTAAGATAGGATACAGTGAGCCACCACACCCGGCCAGCCCCACACTTTTTGTATTTGTATTAGTAGTAAATGATTCAAAAGGTACAAAAGGATATACAATGGAAAGTAAGCCTCCTTCCACCCTCGTTTTCCCTTATGCCAGAGGCAGTCATTAATTCCAGTTTCTTGAGTATCCTTCCAGAGATTTTTGCATGTATGAGGATATATATGTATGAATTTGTTTTGTTTTGTTCTTGCATAAATGGCACTATCTGCCATTCTGTAACTCCCAGAACCACTTTTTTTTTTTTTTTTTTTGAGACAGAGTCTCACTGTGTTGCCCCGGCTAGAGTGCCGTGGCGTCAGCCTAGCTCACAGCAACCTCAAACTCCTGGGCTCAAGCGATCCTCCTGCCTCAGCCTCCCGAGTAGCTGGGACTACAGGCATGTGCCACCATGCCCGGCTAATTTTTTCTATATATTTTTAGTTGTCCAATTAATTTCTTTCTATTTTTAGTAGAGACGGGGTCTCGCTCTTGCTCAGGCTGGTCTCGAACTCCTGAGCTCAAACAATCCGCCCGCTGCAGCCTCCCAGAGAGCTAGGATTACAGGCATGAGCCACCGCGCCCGGCCCAGAACCACTTATTAATTTTATCATCTGGGCTGGACGTGGTGGCTCATGCCTGTAATCCTAGCACTCTGGGAGGCCGAGGTGTGAAGATCACTTGAGCTCAGGAGTTCGAGACCAGCCTGAGCAAGAGTGCGACCCCTCCCCCGCCACCCCCGTCTCTACTAAAAATAGAAAAAATTAGTTGGGTGTGGTGGCACTCACCTGTAGTCCCATCTACTCTGGAGGCTGAGGCAGGAGGATTGCTTGAGCCCAGGAGTTTGAGGTTGCTGTGAGCGAGGCTGACACCACAGCACTCTAGCCTGGGCAACAGAGCGAGACTCTGTCTCAAAAAAAAAAAAGAAAATTATCATCTGGGCCGGTTTGCACTAAGACAGAGGATGGATGTAATGGGACAGATGACTCCATATTATAAAGGGGATTGCTAATTTTTTCCTTTGGTGCTTGGGGGACAAATTGGGCTGCCCCTCAGATAGTCACCTCCCCATGCTGCGGAGTGAGGAGGATTGTTCCAGAGGCCTTGGGCTTTTCCAGCAGTGCGCTGTTTGAAACAGGCACAGCCGTGACCTGTACTGGAAAGGAATGCCATGGTGCTGCCCCTCGGTACAGCTCGGGTCTGGCCCTTGACTGTGGCTGCTTACTGGAATCACCTGGGGAGCTTTTCAAACAGGTCCCAACCCAGAACAACTGAATTGGAATCTCTGGGCTGGGACCCGGGCCTTAGCACTGTTTCTAAGGCTCCCCGGGTGATTCTAACGTGCAGCCTGTGCAGTTACGTTAGAACACACAGAGAAAAGAGCTTGGGACTAGGAACCTGGAGAGGTCATTTCCTGCTTTGAGCTTCCAGCTCTGTGACCTCAGACAAGTCACATGATCCCTGTGGACCTCAATGTCCACCTCTCTGAGCCAGAGCCAATAATACCCACTTCCTTGCATACCTCACAGGATTGTAATGAGGATCAAATGCGTAAGCGCCCTGGGAACTGTGAGACATTGTCTAATGGGAGGGATAATCGTATCAGGTGCATGCATTGTCTTGGGTTACTCCGATCAGCTTGACTTAGCTGCAAGTACTGCTCAGGCTCTGCCAGGGACTTTCCGTTTTACCTTTGGACAGGTAACATCCTATGATGTGGGCTGGGGCCAGTTTATTCTAGAGCCTGTCTGCCCCCTGTACCGCCTCTGGCAGCTGAGCCATCTGTCTCTCCTTTTCAGGGACCCAAGAAAGCTGGGCTCCTCCTAAGTTACGGTGACTGCCAGCCAGGGCGGCACAGCCCTTCAGGAGGCTCATCAGAACCTTGGGGGCACCTGTGCAGTTTGAGAACGCACAGTCAGTAATACACTTACAGATTTGCAAAATGGAGGGGTGGGATAGGGCAAGAAAACTACCCTGATTACTTCCCGAAAACAAAGCTCATAAAGTAAAGCTCAACCATCTTCCCCAAAGGCGTATTTCCTGCAAAACCCTGCAAAGATCGGAAAGCACAGAGTGTGGGCTGAAGAGAGAAAGGAAAAGAAGCAGGGCAGGTGATTGCTATGTTTATTCAGGGAAAGTGGGTTTAAAAAGGGTGAGAAACACCTCGCCAGAGCCCCTTGCTCTGAGGTGGGATGCTCTCCTGCAGGTAGAGGAACCCAGGAACCCAGACAGCAGCGGACCCTGCCTGCAGAAGCTCCCAGTTAGCCTCTTGTGTACCTCATGCTCAGACCTTGCTCTGTTCATTTCACCATCTCTCCTGACCCCTCTTCTCTCAGTGCCCCACATTGGTGAAGACTTCCACCCTGTCCCCCCCTCCCCCCCGGGGCTGCCTTTCCTGGTGTTGTCCCCTGGTCCTCTCTGGGAGAAAAGGCCTCAAGCTGTGCTGTCTTTAGTTCTTTTCCACCGAGGACAGCCATATTTTTAGAGTTTGCAGAATAAACATACTGCATTTCTTAGGTAAAAACTGTTTTCCGTTCTAGTCAAAGATTCATTACTGATTATTGCAGGATCATCATACGTCACCTTTGCACTTTCCTGACTCTCCCCACTGTCAAAACCCATTGCCTGCTGATACATCAGGACCTGTAACACGTGTCACCTTCTACCATGTTATATAATTTGCTTATCTATTATGTTTCCTGTTTGTCATCTGTCTGTCACCACAGCGTAAGTCCCAGGTGACAGGGATTGTGTCTGTTTTGCTCACTGATGTCTGGTAGAGTGGCTGGCACATAGTAGGTGCTCAGTATTTGTTGAAAGAATGAATAAAAATGCACACACCTTTGGCCATTAGGCTGTGAGCTTCATGAGGTAGGAGCAATGCCCGTTTTATTCACCGCATATACTCAGTACACAGCACAGGGCCTACCATAAAGTAGGTACTTCATAAATATGTCCATATGGTAGCTCCGCATACCATTTCTAGGAATTTATCCTATAAATACGCTCTCACAGTGAAATATGCATGTGGATATTAATAGCAGCATTTTTGCAAAAACAAAACTACTGGAGACTAGAAATTAGTGACTAAAACTCCGTCACTAGAAGGCATGGGTTAAGTAAATTTGTACTCTAAACAGTAGGCAGCTGTTCAAACAAATGAGGTAGGTGTATGCATACTGATTCAGAAAGGTTTCAAGATATATTGTTAAATGAAGACAGCAGAGTTTTAGAAATCAAGGTGCCGAACAGTATAATCTTAAATATTTAAAACAAAATGAAATATGTTTTTACCCATTTAATTTTAAAAAGTATTTAACAGTGGTTACCTCTGGGGAGTGGAGAGGGAAGACTTTAAATTTTATATCCTTTTTTTTTGGATTGTGTGCATGGTACTTTTATGTTTTTTTTTTTAAATTAAAAAAGATAAATTATCCTCCCAAAGTATATGATCAGTTTAGGCATCCATTGTTTGCACTGCTAGATGACACAATTCTAATCCAAAGCACAGAATGATGCCCTTTCGGTTAGCTTCAAGGTGTCCATTCTTACCCAGGTGGATGCTCACTCAGGGGTACCCCTTTCCTAGATTGGAACCACTAGTGTAGACTCTTCCCTTACCAATGATCATATTTACCCCAATTCTAGCCATACCTCCAGCACTCTAAAAATCATATCCGCATTGTATGAATGAGCAGAGCATAGGGGACCATAGATTTTGGGGAAGTGTGGGTGAAGCCCTGGGCAGAGGGCCAGGATGCAGAGCAGTGGGGCAGGGGAGGCCAGCTCTGTGCTCTGCCCTCTCTGCTGGGCCCCACTTCCTCCTGTGGCCCAGATTTCTGCTGATGGGTCCTGGCTGGGCAGGTCTCTTCAAGGTGAGGATTCCACAATTCCACTGTAGTTTTCCCCACTACCTGTGGCCTGTCCCATCTACCGCTCCCTCCTTTCTCTGAGAAGGTGTTTCCAAGAACCCAGATGCCTCTTCCTTCCACTCCCCCACCCATATGGAACCCCAGGGTCAGAGGTGACTTTTGACTGATCAGAGATGGGACTGTTGGGTCAGGGCATGTGCACACAAGTATGAAAACAGCCAAAGAAGACACAGCTGATGCTCAATGACCTGTGAACTTTTTATTGGTATAAGGGCACCCTGCTCCTACTGCCTCAATGCCTCAGAACTTTGGTGTCATTGGTCTCAGACACCACTTTGCCATCCACTATCCTGCGGGTGGTGGTCTTTTGGATGGTTTGCATCGAGTTGCTGCTGTCCAGAGCATCACCAAGACTGTAACAGAAGACCAAGCCCCAGTTACAAACAGCCCCACAGAGTGGAAGGGAGACAAGAAGGATGGGTGGAGGCAAAAAGCCTCCTGGCCTCTACCTTTATCTCCAAATTCCTCTCAGTCACTTCCTCCCGAAAAGGCCAAACTTCATTTGTACCCTAAGTACAGCTAGGGGCAATACTTGGTTCATTCTCTTCTCACGGGACGGAACCTCTGGAACTGTTACCCCCTTGAAGACAGAGGGGCACCCACGGAGCAGCAGCCCAGTGCTCAGGGGATGCAAATGAACAGCAGCATATGGGGGTTTCTGCAAGCTCAGGTTTTAAGGAGAAGTTATCTTGGACCCCAGCATGGGTGGGCAGGAGAGCCCCACTCACTTGAAGTCTTCCCCGTCTTCCAGCAGGCGGCGGTACGTGGCAATCTCAGCCTCCAGCTTGACCTTGATGTTTAGCAGGGCCTCGTACTCCTGGGCCTGGCGCTGGCCCTCTGCCCGGGTCTGTGCCAGCTCTGACTCCAGGTGCAGCAGGACTCCGTTAAGCTGCTCCATCTGCATGGCGTAGCGGGCCTCCACCTCCCTCAGGCTGTTCTCTAAGTTGGCCTTCTGCAGGGGCACAGGGAGGAAGGTTGGCGTGAGTCCAGAGTCCCAGGAATGCCCATCCCTTGACACTGTGTGTCTTTTTTGAGCAGCTCCTATGTGCCAAGTACTAAAGTGAGGGTAGGAGCAGTGGGAAACAACTCTTTCTCAGCTAAAGGAACTCATGATGGAAGGGCTAGGATTTGGGCTAAGACAGGGTTGGGCCTGAGGCCACTGGACAGAGGTCAGGGGTCCAGAGAAGCAGGGGCAGGTGACGTGAGCGTGTTTACCACATTTCTCATGGAGTCCAGGTCGATCTCCAAGGACTGGACCGTACGTCTCAGCTCCGTGAGCGTCATCTCGGCAGCTCCGACCTCGGCAGACTGCGAGGTGACCACTGTGGTTCTCTCCTCAATCTGCAGGGTGGGTATGGTCCATCAGGCCCCTCCTTCCCCACCTGCCTCCCTCCCACATCCTGGCAGCCATCCCTTCCCCTCTCGCACCTGCTGGGACCAATACTTGTCCAGCTCCTCTCGGTTCTTCCGAGCCAGCTCATCATACTGGGCCCGGATGTCCGCCATGATCTTGCTGAGGTCCTGGGATTGGGGGGCATCTACCTCCACGGTCAACCCAGAGTTGGCAATCTGGGCTTGTAGGCCTTTTACTTCCTAAAAGAGACAGGAGCAAAAGAGAGGAGGGCTCAGGGTCAGAGCTCTAACAAGGCCCTTCATCTGTGATTGCCTCTTCTAGGAGGCCTACAGGATCAGCTGGAGAAGAGACCAAAGGAAATTCTTGGCTTGCACTCTGGGCAATGGCAATTTCGGGCTTTCTGCTCCCGGTGGATAGAAATGCCACCCACTCACTGATGGTGCCTGTCACTCACAGGTGGTTTCTCTCTCCTCACTTCACTTTGTCCCTCCATCCGGCCTCGTCCACAAACCTGCTCCTTATACCTTTTTTTCTTTTTTTTTGAGACAGAGTCTGGCTCTGTTGCCCGGGCTAGAGTGCCGTGGCGTCAGCCTAGCTCACAGCAACCTCAAACTCCTGGGCTCAAACAATCCTTCTGCCTCAGCCTCCTGAGTAGCTGGGACTACAGGCATGCGCCACCATGCCCAGCTAATTTTTTTCTATATATTTTTAGTTGTCCAGCCAATTTCTTTCTATTTTCAGTAGAGACAGGGGTCTCGCTCTTGCTCAGGCTGGTCTCGAACTCCTAAGCTCAAACAATCTGCCCGCCTCAGCCTCCCAGATTGCTAGGATTACAGGCGTGAGCCACCGCACCTGGCTGTTATACCTTGTTCTAGGCAGCTCTGCCAGCTCCATCTGCTCCCATTCCCCATCCTCCCCAGCTCCTAGTGCTAGCTGCTTCTTCTACCTTTGTCCTCACCTCCTTCTTTGCCCCTTATCATCTTGACCTCTTTGCACTGTAATTCAGGTGAGCCAGAGTGTATGTGGCCCATTGCATATGCTCTTCATCAGAATAGTCTGATAAAGAAGAGCCCAGGCTGGTAGCTCTAAACTTCCTTGCAAGGCTATTTGCAAGTGGCCTGCCCCATCTATTCCCCCACCCAGACTTGTCTTGGGCCCTTTGTGCCTGGCCAGTGGCCTGCCCCTGCTTGCCTCCTCCTGGTTCTTCTTCATGAAGATCAGCTCCTCCTTGAGAGCCTCGATCTCTGTCTCCAGCTGCAGCCGAGTGATATTGGTGTCATCAATGACTTTGCGGAGCCCATGGATGTCGCTCTCCACAGACTGGCGCATGGCTAGCTCTGTCTCATACCTGTGGGAGTGGAGGAGATCAGAGGAGTCCAGGTCCAGAACCTTCTCAACCCATGCCACCTCCTAAGTGCAGCCCTGTGCCCACTGTAAATTAGTGACTTGAGTCCATAATCAGATGGGAATCCCCTGAGCACCATTCTTGGCACTTGGGTGGCAGTATTCTTAAACTGGGTTACAAGAATGAATAATTAAATGAATAAAATGGTGGACCCTAACTCTCATCTACCCAACCCTACCCACGCCTGAACAAGATCCCAGTCCTGTGACCTGTGAGCCCCTCCCTGACCCAGCTGGGGGAGCAGACCATTCTTGGCTCCTCCCGGGCCTCCCACTCCCCAGCCCCCAGACTTACTTGACTCTAAAGTCATCAGCAGCAAGACGGGCATTGTCAATCTGCAGAACGATGCGGGCATTGTCCACAGAATTTGCAAAGATCTGGGGGGATTGTCAGAGAGGTTAATCCATGAATGGAAAGTCAACGATAGGTGGGCTGAGTGTGTGGAAGGGGTTACGGGTCTCAGTGAGAACTTCCTGGTCCCAGGAATAGCCAGAGGCTCTCCTTGTACACCTATCCCTTTCTACCTGTGTCCCCCTCACCCTGCAACTGTTCCCTCCTTTTCTGGATTCCCAAATCCCAGCACTCTGCCACTGCTTCGGGACCTCGGCAGGCTGGCTGGCTGGCCTGCTGGGAAGTGAGCGGCTACTAGCAAGTCCTCTCCCTGGCCCTCTCCTGGCAATTTTTCCTAGTGCACCTGCTCACCCCCTGCTGTGGGCCCCTCACCCCCTGGATTGGCCCCTCCCACAGGTAGGCCTCCTGTTTACTCTTAGATGACTCAGCCTTAGCCGCATCCGCTTAACCCTCTAACTGTCCCCACTCGACCAGAAGCCAGTGTCTGGGTCCTCCTTATGTCTTTTTCTCATCTCCCTCCATGCTGTCCACTTCCTCTGCAAAGCTCTGGTCCCTGTCCCCTTCCCACTATCTCTAGGAGAAGAGCTCTCCCATGCTTGGGCCCCTGTGGCCAGGAGTGTGGATGGAAATCCAGGGTATTCCTACCCCCCTCCGCGGGAGCGGGGGTTGGGGGTGGACGTAGAAAGCGGGGGAGGAGTCGATGCACCCCGCCCTGATAAAGTTCCTATCCTTGCGGGGGAAGAGGTAAGGGAATGTGTAATTGGAGGGTCAAACATGGCTGGAAATTGGGGCTCCTCCCTCTATGCCCCTTACCTGAGCCCTCAGGTCCTCGATGATTTTGAAGTAATGCGCCCAGTCTCTGACCTGGGGCCCCTTCTTCTCCAGGTGTTCCCGGATTTTGCTTTCCAGCCTCCGATTATCGATCTCCAGGCTCCTCACTCTGTCCAGGTAGGAGGCCAGGCGGTCGTTCAGCTCTTGCATGGTCTCCTTCTCGGTCTGGATGCCCCCCATTCCTGCCAAACCCCCGGCCATCCCCGCGGCCAGGCCCCCGGACCCCCAGCCGCTCCGGACGCTGGTGGAGCGGGACACGGAGATCCGGGAGCCCGAGCCCCCGGCGCCTGCATAGACGCTGGCCGCGCTGCTGGTGGGACGGACGCTACGGCTGGGCGCCTGGACGGAGCCCAGGGACCGGTAGTTGGTGGAGAAGGTGGTGGAGCGAGTGGTGAAGCTCATGCTGTCCGTGGAGGAAAGCGAGAGGACAGGACTCAGGGTCGGTAGGGCAGGGTGGCGGTGCACGACTGAAGTTATATGGCCAAGGGAGGCCCCGCCCCCGCCACCGGAGCCGCCTCGGAAGCCGGGCCGCAGGTGGACCGCAGCGGGAGCGCGCGCCCTCGCTTCCCGCCCTCCCCGCCTGCCCGCGCGCTCCGCACAGCCCTGCCAGGGCCACCCCCACCTGCCAGAGGCCGGTGACTAACCTGGGCGTTCAAGGGCAACAGGTGTTTTTGGCCCTTGAGGCGGTGGTTTCGGGCAGGAAATGACGTTATTATACCCCCTGCCTCAGGTAGAGGAGGTGCTGGCAGGTTGGAAGTTTGGGGGTCCTGGTGGTGGGCGGGTATTGGGGTGTGAGTCTCTGTAGCTGTCCCCAACCTCAGCCCAAGTTACCCACCTGCAGAGAGGATTTTGGGGCACGGGGTGTCCCGGAGCCCCAGGAGTCCTGAGGGAAAAAAAGCTGGAAGCTGGAGAAGAGAACCTCAATCCTGAGCCTCAGATCTCCTGGTTTACACACTCCCTCCCCAGTGCACTTGGTTCCCAAACACTCCCGCCTTGCTGTGTGCAGTCGCAGGAGTCATACAGATGGGGATTCTCCAATACACACAAGCACATTCACGCACCACTATTTGGGACTCCTGAAAACACACCTAGTCTCTGATCTCCCTCCTGCCTCCTTCCCCACCCTCCAAATCACTCCCAGGAGCCTTGGCCTCACAGGATCACACTGTGTGATTTGGACAAGAGACACATGCTCAGTCTTCATACCTGTATATAAGCCTTGCCTACATCCTTGGGTAAACTGGTATTTCCAGAGCACTTACAATTCCACAAATAGTAATTGGGCGCCTACTGTGCACCAGGCTCAGTTCTAAAAACTATGAGAACTGCAGTGAACAAAAGGGGCCAAAATCCCTCTGGGAGATGGTACAGTGCCCCACATAGCAGGGAGCCTGAGAGGACACAAGCATGCTCTGAAGCATTCTAGCTGGCACTCAGCTCTGCCTGCCAGTCTCTCTCCCCCTCCCTACTAAGATGTCTCCCCAGGCTCCTCCTTTCCCAGCCCTCTTCAAGGGGCCTGGGATCCTAAGCCTGTTCCTAGGGGACCAACCCCTCCTGGAAGCTCTCGTCAGAATAGGGGTGAGAAGGATGGAGGTAGGGAAGCTCCCCTTCTCTCTCCTCTGCCCCAAGCTGAATGACCACCCACTGCTGAAGGAACTAGGGGAAGCCTTGAGGTGTGGGGCCTTCAAGCACCTGCAGCTCATTTTTCTGGAAGGGCCTGGTATGACACGCCAGGCTGTGCTCTTTGCTCTGAAATGGACCTATTGATTCATATCGAGCTGCCAGCTGGACTGAGGAGAGGGCAAACAGGAGGGTGGGCCTGGGAGGGGAGGGACCCTGGGAGTAGTCTGGCCAGTGGACCAGCCAGCTGGAGGCACAGCTCAGATGCAAAGCTTGACCCTGGATGGTTCCGAGCCTGCCACCTTAAGGTGGGCAAAGCCCCATGTACTCAGTGGGAGCTGGCCAGGGGAGGGCAGGGCCTGCTGAAAGCTGGGAGGCAAATTGGAGACAAAATGACATACACACAAACACCCACTGGTTTTGCATGGAAGGATCCTGGGAGGCTGGGGGTGCTAGACAGCCAAAGGGGTTTCTCCTGCTTTCACCTTCACAGTGCCCCACTGGGTTCCAGAATTGTCATGTTGTGCAGAATTATATAATAAAGTGTATGGATTAAACATGCAGCATACTGCCTTTTGCTGTTCAAGTCAGCCATCTTGGACATTTTGCTAGCTGTGTGCCCTTGTGGAAGTCACTTAACTATGAACTTCAGTTTCTTCACTTGTACGGGGAGGATAATAAAGCCTGTCTAGGCTGGGCGCAGTGGCTCACACCTGTAATGCTAGCACTCTGGAAGGCCGAGGCGGGAGGATCGTTTGAGCTCAGGAGTTCAAAACCAGCCTGAGCAAGAGTGAGACCCCACCTCTACTAAAAATAGAAAGAAATTAATTGGACAACTAAAAATATATAGAAAAAATTAGTCGGGCATGGTGGCGCATTCCTGTAGTCCCAGCTACTCGGGAGGCTGAGGCAGAAGGATTGCTTGAGCCCAGGAGTTTGAGGTTGCTGTGAGCTAGGCTGACGCCACGGCACTCTAGCCTGGGCAACACAGTGAGACTCTGTCTCAAAAAAAAAAAAAATGCCTGTCCATTCTGTCTCCTTGGGTGACAGTGGCTGTCAATGTGAACTATCACTTACTCATTCATTGAACAAATACTAATTACTTACTGCAGATTAAGGCTCCAACACACCCAGGAGGGCAGAGTAGGGAGTCATGCTAAAGACCCCTAGGGGACTTTGAATTCTACAAGCAATCAGACCCAGATCCTGGAATCCTTATCCAAGTTCCTTCCTAGATCCTCCTCTGATTCCTGCCCCACCCTAACTGCTCAGAACCTTCTGGGGCCTGTGGAGGTGCAGTCAGGCAGGAGCTGGCAGGGAGAGCCACCAGCTGGGCCTTATCTCTCATAGCCCCGAAGTCGATGGCCGCATTCCTGACCTCTTGCAGCACTAGAGCAAATACCAACCCCAGGCTTCCAGCACCAGCCTGCCCCTTCCCTCCACTTCCAGATTCCTCTGTGGTCAGGGCCTGTTCACTCTGACTGACAGCTTCTTGGAGAGTAGGGGAGAGGGGTGCGAAGGAGGAGTTTCAGCCTCCAGATTCCCAGCACTGGGGCTCTGGGGTGGGTGGGAGGTAAGGTGGAAGGGGGCATTGGGTGATTGCCAGGCCAGCCCCCGGGGAGAGTGGAGCAGGAGGGGCCCTGCTGAGCCTCTCCCAGAACAAAGACAAGTAAAGTAATGAGCCTCCCAGGGGAGTCCGGAAGGAGGGGAAATGGTTCTCCACCCCCAATCTGCCTTGCATTCCGGAATCCTGCTGTAGGGGAGTGGGAACCTGCGAGGCAGGTTTAACTAAAGAGTAAACTGAGATGACCCTGATAGGGGTGGGTCAGCTCTGCCCGCCCCTCTGCATTCTCCCATTGGGGGCTGGGGCTGATGGCTCTGGGGAAACTAGATTAGAGGATTAGAGAGGATTTTGAGAACCTGGAATTCTTCAGCCTCTGCTTTAACATTTAGGCTGGAAATTTCTTGTCCAGCCTGGAGGAGGGAGCAAACGATGGATGAGGATGGGGGTCCACAGCAAAATGGGGAGAGGCTGACTCCTCAAATTTGAGAGTGACTCCTGTGTGTTGCAGGAAGTGAGAGATCTGTGTGGTGGGGAGGGCTGGAGGGAGATAGGGGGTGAGGGGATTCCTGGGGGGCTCCCCTTGGCTCCCCTTGGCTAATCTCAGTGGAGTGCCCAGCCTGCAGGCCAGGGGCCTCCCGCAGGAGGAACTCAAGAGCTACTGAGTTGGAGCAGAACTGTGGAGACACAGGGAGGGATGGGGTGAAACTCAAAGGACAAGGAGTCTGGGACAGAATGCCTCACATCTGGCATGTAGGGGAGCTCCATAAATAATTTAGGTTTAAGTAATGCATTAAAGGGGGTGCTAGGAGAGGTTTGGGGCACCAGAATGTGCAGTTGGGTAGACTGAGGAGAGAAGGGAGGTAGGGCAAAGGTTCAGGCTTCAGAGGCAGCTGTGGAGGCAGGCGGATGAGGGAGGTTGCAGCTGTGTTGGATGCAGGGCCCAGTCTTCTTCTGGAATCTCTCAGGAGGTACCCCTGCCCCGTGTGGAGGCCCTGGCTGCCTGTCCAGTGTGGAGTTGGGGAGGGGTTCTGAGAGCTTGGGTCAGGCCTTCTCCCCCAGGGGTGAGAGGGTCAAAGAGTGTTCTGACACTTTTAGTATCACTGCTTCAGTTGGGTTTGTACCAAATAGGTTATTATCCAGGAATAAAGGAAGAGGAAGAGTCAGTGCAAGGGGCACATGGCTGCCTAGGAATCTCCAGGTGCTGAAGCTCAGAGGATTCTGGGGAACCTGACTCTCCTAGGAGCCCCCTCAGCTCCCTGGTCCCTTCTCCAGTCTCCTCTGGCAAAGCCTCACCCACCATGCTCAGCCAATTTCTTTCGTTTTAGCCTGGGCTCAGGGCAAGGGTGGCTAGGACTGAGTCTATGGAAAAGAAGGTGAAATGGAAGAGTGGAGTGGCCAAGAACCTGCCTCCAGACCATGCAGTCACTTGCTTGGCTGTGTCTCCCTGGCCCAGACTTGGCAGATCTGCCAGCAGTGTCTGGGGGAAGCATCCTGTGAACAGCTAGAAAAGCAAGTATAGGCTGCGCATGGTGGCTCACGCCTGTAATCCTAACACTTTGAGAGGCTGAGGTGGGAGGATCACTTGAGCCCAGGAGATGGAAGTTACAGCGAGCTATGATGATGCCACTGCACTCCAGGGAGAGTGCGATAGAGCAAGACCCTGTCTCAAAAAAAAAAAAAAAAAAAATTGCTTTTTCAGTTTCAATTTCCAATTGCTCATGCTAGTATATAGAAATATAATTTATTTTTGTATATCATTTATCCTGTGATCTTACAAATTCTTTTATTAGTTCTAGTAGCTTTTATGTAGGTAGTTCTTTGGGACTTTCTACATAGATGATCATTTCATCTGTAAATAAAGATAGTTTTATTTCTTCTTTTCCAACTTGTACCTTTTATTTCTTTTTCTTGACTTACTGCACTGGCTAGCACCTCCAGTGCAATGCTGAATAGAAGTGGTGAGAGCAGGCCCGGCACGGTGGTTCATGCCTGTAATCCTAGTACTCTGGGAGGCTGAGGCGGTGGATTGTTTGAGCTCAGGAGTTCGAGACCAGCCTGAGCAAGAGCGAGACCTCATCTCTACTAAAAAAATATAAAGAAATTAGCTGTACAACTAAAAATATATAGAAAAAATTAGCCAGCCATGGTGGCACATGCCAGTAGTCCCAGCTACTCGGGAGACTGAGGCAGAAGGATCGCTTGAGCCCAGGAGTGTGAGGTTGCTGTGAGCTAGGCTGACGCCACGGCACTCTAGCTGGGGCAACAGAGTGAGA